AAAGGATCAAGGACCAAGAGCTTTTCCCTCCGCACACCTGCCCAGGCTTGCCCTCCAGTTTTCATTTGCATTTGAGCTTCTCCTGGGTGAATTTGTCAAATTTTGCCAGGTTTTGACAGCAGCAGCACAAAGGGACCAACTCAGATGGAGGCAATGTGGGGGCACTGGTAGAAAGCATCAGATTTGCTTTAAATCTGCAGTTGAAACCCTCAGTAATTCCAGCCTGGGCTGGTCCCTCCAAAGGAAAACCTTGAGCAGTAACTCAGAGGGCATGGATCCAGCTCAGCTGGAAGAGCTTTAATGTCCCTTCCAACACAAACCATTCTGGGATTCTGTGAGGGTGCCTCCTCTCTTTTTTGGCCTTACCTGTTCAGAAAAATCTGGTCATTCAGGCACAAACACTTCTTTCTTTTAAACTCTGTTCCTCCAGCAGATGCAGACTCAGCATTTATTACATTTTCAAGATACCACATCACGAGTCTTTCTAAAACAAAATATTTGGAATCCATAGCTTTACCAAGATAGACCAAAAAAATCAAGCTAAGCCCAGGCTGGAATGACCTCACCACCTGAAGCCATGTAGACCAACATGGCAAAACACCAGGAAGCCTTGGGAGGGTGGTAAAATTAAATTTTTCCCAAACAAAACATTTTTATTAATTTGATAACCACCAGCATTTTATTTTGACATCAAGATCCCAGTGTAGATAATGGGAAATGGCAGCTTTCTGTTAAAAGGTTTTTTTTACAGCACCATTCAAAGGGCTTAGAAGCATTTGCTCCATTTATTTTGGAGAATTTCACCTACAAGCAGCTCTATATGTTATGTGTTTTAAAAAATATTTCCATATGCTAAAGGAATGCAACTGGTTGCCAAGGAAAGTGGCTGTTACAGCAGCAGGCTGGGGCTGTTTTTCAAGGAAAAACTGCTGCAGAAACGAGGTATCCACAGAGGTGCACTAAAGCAACACTAACTGCGGTGACCTTGAGATGACCTAGACCTCCTCATATTACAAAAATGAAAAGAGAGTTAGAAAACCTGAGGCCAATTAGGCTTTTTTTTTTTTTTTTTCCTGGAGACATGATGAAATTTCCTGAAACAAAAACTTTAGCAAATTCTATAAAATACTTCTAGCTTTGGTGGAAAAATAAATTATTGCCTTTTTATCTCCTCATTCCTGAGGCACAGAACTGGCCTACTTCTGTTTGTGCAGATGGACTGCAGGGAAAACACCCAGAGAAGGGCCAAGTGGTGAGATTCTTGGCACAAGCAATTAAGTGTGAAGTTATTCTCAGGGCTGCCTATTTGTTATTGCAGGAGGAATCATTAAGATTATATGGAAAGATATTGTCTGGGAAAAAGTGTGAAGTCAGGATTATGTGTCCCGAGATGTGATTTAGGAGCAGAGCACCGGCCGTGCCCGCGGGGAGCAGCGCCCGAGCGGCTCCGGGCTCGGCCTGGGGCAGCGCCTCGCCCCGGGAGCCCCGGAGGGGCCGGACAGGGAATGCCCCGGAGGGGCCGGACAGGGAATGCCCCGGAGCCGCCCGGAGCTGCCGAGGGGCCGCGGGGAGCAGCCCGGACGAGGGCAGGAGCCGCCCGGGCCGGGCCGGCCCCGCCAGGCGCTGCTGCGGCCGGGACCGAGCGGACCGGCCCCCCGCGGCCGCGGCGCTCACGGGCGGCCCCGGCTGCGTGTCCCCCTCTCTGAACCCGGGGCTCCACGTGCGGAGCCCGGAGCGATTTCCTCTCCCACCCAAGGGAAGGGAAAGGTTTGGGGCCGCTCCTTGCGCCTCTCTCCGAACAGCCCCGCTCCGGGGGCGGGTTTGTGGCCAAACCAGATGCTGCTGCTTCGGACCTTCCCTAGAGCGGCTCCAGCCCCGGGACAGCCGCTGGGACCGGGGCCAGGGCTGGGAGCCAGCCGGGTCCAAGGGTGCCCGGGGGCTGTGGGAAGGAGCCAGCGGGATGTCCCAGCGGGACGTCCCAGCGGGATGTCCCTCCCAGCGTCCAAAGCAGCCCCGGCACTGGGAGGCACCGAGGAGTCTGCAGAGCACTCCCAGTGCCTTTTCCCACTCAACCCACCGCCGAGGAGCTGCAGGGTGGGGACTGCAGGACCTGCAGAGCTCATCAGGGGCGAGAGAGACCTGCGAGAGCATCGGGGTCATCCGCGGGCGCGGAGCCTCCCTGTGCTGATACAGAAATCCCACGGACCATCCCTGAATTCCTCTGCCACGGGGGATGACCCGGCCGGGGGCTGCTCCGGCCTCAGCCGCGAGCAGGCGCTGGGAAAGACGAGACGGGAGGGACGGTGGTCCCTGCAAACCTTCCCAAAGGCAGGCGGAACCAATTAGAGTTCTCAATTACCGCTCCCAATTAGCGCTCCCGCAGCGCTGCTGGCGCTCAGGGAAGGCAGCGGGGCCTTTCCTAAGGGAAGACCAAAGCTGCTCATCTCTGGTCCCCGGCTGGATACACCCAGCTCTTGTGCAGAGATGTACAAAGCCCAAGGAAAATTTTGTGGGATCTCTCTTTGGTCCAGTCGCGATTTTGATTTATTAAATTACTGTTTACAATATTTTTTAGAAAATAATCTCATTACTAAAACAAAACAAAAATCTACTAAGGACAAAACCTACCTGTTTCAGTGAGTGCTCACAGATTTTAGTGGGCATGTGCCACGTGTTTGGTGACGATAGAAACACCCAGGGAGACTGAGCGAGCTCAGCCAGCCTAAACCAGAAAGGCTTTGACTCACTGCAGTCCCTCATCCTGCTACAGTGCCCAGAGGTGTTCCAAGAGGATGTTACCTACAGGCTTGGATAATCACCACTGATTTTTGTTATTTCCTGCCCTGAATTCTGTTTTGCTGCAGAACAGTTTTGCAGAGGGCAGGAGCTCTGCTGTGGAGCACCCACTGCTCAGAACAGTTAGGTCCTGGTGTGTGGGTGATTAACAAGTGGCTCGAGTTCTGTTTCAGCACCACAGAGCATTGCACAAATGTGTTTAAAGTGTCCAGGGAAAAGCTGGAGCTTGGAGAAGCCAACAGCGGCTCCGTCCCCCCACCCTGCAGCAGAAGCTGGGGCTGTGGGGCAGGGCAGCCCCAAATCCTGTCACCATGACAGAGCTGGGGCTGTGCTCAGCACTGTGCCACAGAGAGCCCACACAGACACCACAAGAGCCGGGGTGCCAGAGCAGCTCCCATGGGAGTGTTTCCCACCGCAGGGATGGGCACAGCTGGGTCTGACAGCACAGCCCAGTGTGGGGAGCAGAAAAGGTCTTTTCCAAAGGTCCTTTCCCCTTTTCCCCCCCTTCATCTCCCCGTGTGGGCAGCAGGGCTGGGGGGGATTGTGCCCCTGTGCTCAGGTGAGCCCCCAGCTGCAGAGCTGCCCCAGCCCTGGCCCAGCACAGGAGGAGCTGGAGCTGCTGGAGCCAGGCCAGAGGAGGCTCCAGGATGAGCAGAGGATGGAGCAGCTCTGCTGGCAGGAAAGGCTGGCACAGCTGGGATTGTTCACCTGGAGAGGAGAAGCTTTGGGCTGAGCTCAGGGTGGCCTTGCAGGGCCTGGAGGAGCCACAGGAAACCTGGAGAGAGAGAATGGACAAGGGATGGAGGGACAGGACACAGGGAACGGCTCCCAGTGCCAGAGGGCAGGGATGGATGGGATATTGGGAATTAGGAATTGTTCCCTGGCAGGGTGGGCAGGCTCTGGCACAGGGTGCCCAGAGCAGCTGTGGCTGCCTCTGGATCCCTGGCAGTGCCCAAGGCCAGGCTGGATGGAGTTTTCCCTCTGGAATTGCTCTGCTCTAACCTCATCCACAGCAGTTTGGGAAGGGCTTGGCAGGAGACGCTGGGCCTGAGTGAGACCCCAGTGCCTGTGGGGGTCCCTGGAGCCCAGCCCTGCCCTGCTTGCCCACCCTCCCAGGGCACTGCCCAGCCCCACGGGCACTTCATGCTCAGGACAGTGTGTGGCTGCCACCCTCTGATGGGAGGGGAGAGTCCAAAGGGGCCTCAAGTCCCCCCAGAATGGGTTGGAGCACCCAGGGGAGCAGGGAATTAACTACCAGCTGTGAAAGGCTGCAAGGGGAAACCCACAAAACAACCAAACCCAAAGGCCACCCAGGTGAGCTGGAATGTTAAAGCCTCACCTCAAGGTTTACACTACAGATCCATCCCAGAGCTTTTGTGGCTTATTTGGATAATGATATCCAGCAAGGCCTTCAGAACTCTGCCACGAGCTCAGCCAGGCTGTGCTTCCACAGAGCACTCCTGGCACCAAACAGGGGGGATTGGACTCACTCAGCTCCAGGGGCAGCCTCAGCCTGACAGCAGCAACGCTGCTTCCAACACTCCTATCTAGAATCAAGAGTGGGACAAGGGGAACAGGAAATCATCTGCACTGGAGTCATTCCTGAGGCCTGGATTTGCCAATGCTGAGCCAGAACTGCTCGTATTTTTAGCAGAGTTTATGTCACCTCCAAAACCTTTTCAGGTCAGTGTCTCCCAGAGACACCCATCAAACCCAACATTGAACAAGTCACTGCACAGCAGCTAAGGAAAGCCCAAGGCAAAGCTTTTCCTGAGTCAGAGCAAGCCTTGGAAGACTCTGCACAGCTCAAGGCATGGAGGTTGCTTCAACAACACAGGAGATGGGTAGTATTTAAAAAAATCTATCTGCATTCTTGGTAAAGTAAGAAAAATTCCTGGTGATGTTCCTGCAGAGGCACTGGGGTTCAGACCTCTGTGATGGGTGAATGAGCTCAGCTCTAGGTCTCACTGTTCCTCCCAGTTTGTGCCCAAGAAAGGGAAGGGTGGAACAGCAGCTGCCACCCCCTGTACCAGTGCAGAAGCTGGGCAGTGGCAGATGGGTTTGGGCTCCACACGCCCTGTGCCTTCCACTGGGGTTGGGCTGGCAGGGCATTTACTGGGCAGGGATCCCCCTGAGCCAGGCTGCTCCAATCCATCCTTAACTCACACCCAAACTCTCCTGAGGTGACATCACTCATCCATTAATGTGACAAATTAAGTTCAAACTTTTTTTTATTAAGCACATTCCACAGTACAAAGCTTTAGATCATGAACAATATCTGTACAATTTAACAGTTTCAAGAAGCTGTTCATACACCAACTTTCCAAACAGGTAATTGGCAAACATAATTACAAGTTAGAATTAGACTATCCCAGTGCTTTGAAACATTAATATCGCAGTAATGTACAGTTGCTCAATTATGGTTAGCAAAACAAAGTCCAGAGTGCAGCCAGGATCACTACCATGAATCCCAGGAGTCAAGTTCCTTGGGTGCCAATCACAAAAGTCCACTGTTATGTTACACAAAGCACAAAGAAGTTTAGACTGCATGTCCAAATACCATTATCTCCCAAGGAAAAACAGGAATTTAAATCTTACACATGCATTTTTAATAAAAGGACTCCGCTCTTCAGAAACAAAGAACCTTTTTCTTCAGGGCTGCAAAAGATCTCTGTTTTTTAAACAGTTTAATAGTAAAGCTGTTAGATGAGAGGGGTAAAGTAAGACACTTGCACGAACTACTGTCAAGCTTACCAAAAAGTGACCTCATGGACGCTCAGGAGCGAGTTTGCTCTTCTTGACTTCATCACATTTGCTCATCTGGATGAATAAATAGCTGGAGTAACAGGGAGGTGGGGAGGGGAGGCCCTGCAGTGACCCTGGGAGGGGCTGGGCTGGTGACACCTCGAGCTCCCTCGCTCCCCTCAGCACCACCCACCCCGGGACTGCACAGGGCAAGGCAACAACCCCAGAGCCAGGAGCTGCTGCCAGCACAGAACTGCCCAGACGGACACAGACAGGGAATGGCAGCAGCCCGTGCCAGCCGTGCCCTCCCCGCACGGCCGCGCCGCGCCGTGGGCACAGAGCAGCCACGGGGCCGCCCCAGACAGAAAATCCATTTTGCGTTGCTCCAGTCTCCTCCTGGCCCGAGGACAACGGGGGTTTGTGTGGCCACACAGATGAGAGGGGACAATGCCAGAACTGAAGAAGCAGCTATGAAGGCTCCCTAACAAAAGCATGGAGGAGCCAAGACACGGCAGCCAATCCTCCTGGGAAACCAGCACGGAATGGGCACAGGAAGCAGAGCGGTGACTGGAACGAGCTCCTCTCACTGTCAGGAAGTGTCACAAATCAAACATAAATAATGGAACTTTGGCCCATGGTATCTTCTCCACTGAGCAGCCAAACTAATGCTACCGAGGACATCAACGGGGGCTGTGAGGCCCCACTGGTGTCAGAGACACACAGCTGCAAATCCCGCGGCACAAAAATATAGAATACAGAACATAAATTAAACAGTTTTTAATTTTTAAAAAGTTTAGAAATTACATTTTAAAATATGCAGTTCCCATTAAAAAAAAAACCCAAAAAATAACAAAAACAAAAACCCAACTAATGAATACTGAAAACCTCCTTTTGCAGAGACAGTGTCTAGGTAATCATATTACCACCAGTGCCAGGGGTTGGGACATCCTGCTGCCAAGTGCCACCACGCTGAGTGTTAGTGTGTAGTGTCAGGACACCCTGAGGCTGGCACCAGAGGCTCTGCTGTATGTACAAGGTATCTACATGCTTACACAGTATCCGAGATGAGGGAAGCACACAGGGAAGGAGGGGGACTACAGCGAACATCAGGAAGCGCAGGACGGCGAGTACAGAGCACAGGGCAAAGGAAAAGACAGTGCTATACAACTAGTTCAGATAACCTAGCCTGAATTACAGGGAATCTTTAATTTAAAAGAAATTATTGGTGCATAAACAAGTAAACTGTAATCCAAAAATATTACTGAGCAACTCAGAAATATTTCTAAGAGTCCAACGTACACCTATGGAACAGAACGGGCTCTGAACCTGCCATGGGGAACGCCTAGAGGACAGTGGTGACTGGAAAGCAAAGCTCTGTACATTCTGGGCATGTGTTTGGCACCCAAATTTCACTGGAGAATGTTTTTGTTTTCTTTAAAGTCAGACAAAAGTGCAAAGCAATATAAATTAGGCCAAGTCCTTTCTTGACTTCTGATTTATATCTGAAAAACAAGCCATCAGAGTTCAGTTTCTACGGACAATTTACATGTGAAGCTTTGGATTTCTCACAGCAGGGAAGGATAGGCTTCTGAAACTCATCTACTCCAAGTCAGTGAATTTGTAGCAAATTCAAAGACGACCACTGAGAGCAGGAAAGATTAAGAAATTTAGATATAGAATTGTGCTGCTTTGCATCTACACAGCATCTAGAACCAATTCTGACTTTAGCTGTCAATCATCTTCAGGCATGTAGTAGCCAAAAATCCAGTAGTTCAAGACTGTGGAACCCTGAAAAAAGAAGACAAGTGAAGTGAGAGGAGAACACAGCAAGCAGCTTCCCCAGGTGCTCAGGCCCACAGCACCCTTTGCATCCAGGCTAAGAGGCGAAGGGCAGAGCACGTGCAGGAGGTGACACTCGTGCAGGACAGCCAGGGCTGCTGGCCAGGAACTGCCCAGCACAGCCCTTCCTGCAGGGGAGCTGCCCCAGGGCTCTGCGCTGGGCTCTGAGCCCCAGGGCAGCAAGAGCCAGGCTCTGCACGGCTCTGGGCCTTGGCAGGACCCACAGGCTGCTTCCCCTCATGCAGCCACAGTCCAGCCCTGGTGAGCTCAGCCCCCTGAACCCACCCAAAAATGGCCAGGGGATCCTTCTTCCTTCCTCACACTGCAGAGGAAGAGCTCTGCACAGGAGGCAAGTTCAGCTGCTTTAATATATGAGCAGCTTTTAGGAAAACAGACAAAACCCTTAAATACTTTGATAATCCTATTTCCAGCCTGGTGGCTCTGTTATCAGCTTGGAGGCAGTGCAAGGTCTGAGTGTAATTAAATCTGAGATTTGATTTTACCTGCCACTTCCCAAAACCACCTTTAATGGACTAGGGAGAACTTCCCTCTTCTGATATGACATTCCCATGAAAGGTTAAAACATCCTTAGGCACTCGCCCTCTACTTCCCTTCCCTTAGCCAAAGGCCTAATGCTTAATACCAGAATATTAGACTATCATATGGTAACAATTTTTATCATGTTACAATAAACAACAGGAATTCAACAGAAGGCAATAAAACTCTCACAGCCAACTGCCAGGACTGTCAAAATTGATCCACTTTGAAGAGCCTCACATTGCAAACCTGTAAAAATGTGTGCAGGGCTACTTCAAAACTCACAAGACTGCGATGTTTGAAAGCTTATAAAATTGTTTCATTAAATGTCATGATGAAATATTAGCTGTTTGACCATAATTTTATGTAGATTTAGGGCTTTTGGATTCTGAAGTCAGACAAACCTGTCAAAAAGTGACATCACAGCATCTCTGCAGTAGAGGAAAAAACTGTTAAGGGACTGCCATTACCAACACCAGAACCTGGGGACTGTGTGGTCCCAGCTGTGCCTCCTGGGATAGGCAGACTGAGCTGTGCTCAACTGCCAAGTGTGCAGGATGTGAGCAGCAGAACTCCCTGCCAAAAGCATCTCCCACTGCCCTGGCAAACCCCAAGGAGCCGTGTGTGCCACGTGGCCAAGTGACACCAGGACACTGCTGCTCAAGGAATGACAGGAATTTTAAACCCTCATTTCTTGACCTGAGGGAGCAGCTGGAGCTGGGCCAGGGCAGGGCCAGGCTGGATTCTGGGAGAAGTTTCTTCCCCCAGAGGTGCTGGCACTGCCCAGGCTCCCCAGGGAATGGGCACGGCCTGAGGCTGCCAGAGCTCCAGGAGCCTTTGGGCACCAGGGATGCACAGGGGGATTGCTGGGAGGCCTGGGCAGGGCCAGGAGCTGGAGTGATGATGCTGCTGGGTCCCTTCCAGCTCAGCATAGTCCACGATTCTGTTTCTTTTGTGCTTAAGACACACTATATGTGGCTTTTAAAGAACTATGCCCAATCTGTAATTAGAAACATATTTTGTCCATCTCAAATGATCATTTTAGTTAACAGAAGCAAGCACTGATGCAGGACTGGAAGGCAGATGGAGACTGTTTATAAAATGCAGCCTTTCCAGGTGTCCCTGTCCTGCCGCAGGTAGACAGCCAGTCCATGAGTTTCACTAAGCTACCCCTGCAGCAGGGTTCTTAAAACCTTCTGTGAAGGGAAGGTTTAGCTGGGATTCTGCACATGGCCCATGTTTACTGCATTAGAGCTCATCCTTATTCCAGAGTCTAAGTACAGGAATGCTGAGAGGCAGCTCAGCCTGGCAATGGCCAGCTGCTGGCTCAGACCCTGCAGAGCAATGTGCCAACAGATCTCAGTGTCAGATCCAGAGAGGATGCTGCCCTGGTGGTTTTAAAAGGAGTGGAGCAGCAGGGAAGGCAGCTAACCCTTCCTGACGTGAAAGAAAACTCATCTTAGCAGGAGCACCTCTAAGTGTGTCTGCACAAGGGAAGGGATTTTCCAGCCAGACACAGGTCCTGCAGGAGTCCAAAAACCAGAGGAGTACATTGCTACAGCAGGGACAAATGTATCCAGAGAGATAATGAAAATCCGTTCCTACAGGAAGGCTTTCCACACCATGTTTAAACAAAGTACTCATATCTACTTCAAATAAAGGAAATCCTTCCTGTTGGGACAATGTCACTGCCAGCCCCTCTTGCTGTGGTATCTCCATTCCTTGGAAGCACTGGCAGAGCCTGCTGTGCTTTGGAAGGCAGTGCCTGTGTTTCCAAGCCCCAGCACTCACAGGCAGGTGTAGTTTGAAGTGCAGTTGTTGGCAGAGAGGAGAATCCACATTCCCAACAAAGGGCTTTGAGCACTGACAGCAGTGACTGGGAAAGGGAACCAAACTCCAGCAAGTTTTGGGCTCTGCTTCAGACAGCTCGGAGCTGTGCTGGTGAGCTCTGAGAGCTCTCCCTGCCACTTGTGCTCCTCACAGAGCCAATGTTCCTGCCCCAGGCTCAGATCCCTGCAGAGGCCCTGCACTGCTCCATGCACAGCTCCCCACAGCCAGCAGGTACAAGGAGAGCTCCCACTTCATGGGACACCTGGAATGTCTGTGCCATACACCACAGCTCCTCAATTCCCAGCCATGCTGTGAATACATGACAACTCTAACATGCCTGAGCACCCAATTATAACCATGAGGATTTACAGAAGGGGGAAGCCAAAAACACATGCTGGAGCATGACCACACAAAGACTAGAGAGTGAAAGAAGTGGCATAAAAAGGTTTTATTTTCTTAAAGAAAACCTCAGCTTGTTTGACTAAAGCAAGCTGCAGGCAAAAGGAACGTTTCAGACATTTCCCAGGCCAAGCCAACGAGGAAGCCTTACCTTCTGAGGGCAGTAAAGTGCAGACTGTTATCTGGAGATGTAGGTGTATGTTCTAGATGGAGAGCGGGTCTCGTTCTGGGCACTCAGTGGCACATTTAAGAAATCCCAAATCAGAATTGTATCGTCATGGGAACTACTAATGATCTGGAATTCATCAAACTGGAGCCTAAAGACACGTCCTGAATGTTCCTGTGGGCAAAAGAGACAAGCAGTCAGCAAGGCAAGAGGGAAACACGGCAGTGCACTGGTATCACACAGGGATCTGGACACACAAGGTATGTTCAAACTCTGCTATGCTGACTAGAAAACCTTCATAATTACACAGAGATGGATGAAAAGCTGCTTTTACATGTTAATTATTTACAGAAAACACATGGCTCCCAAATCTAGTGTTGTACCCTGAGCCTCCCTCAGTGGGCCCAGCACAGCCACAGGCTGAGATTATTCCAGATGGAAGATGTCTGTCCACCAAGGAGCAGCAATTTTGGCCCCTGGCTGGCACTGATGCTCTGCTAGGGCTCCTTCTCCTGCAGAATTCTCTGCTAATTCTGTTTTTGTGCAGCCCCAAACAGCACATCACAGCTCCACCCTGCTGAGAGGATCCTCAAGCAGCAGCAGCCAGGAATTCAAACACTGCCATGAGAAGGGGAGCAGATGCTCCAGCAGCAACAAATCTCAAAGTGGCACAAGAAACCCAGAAAAGGCTCTCCCTTTAGTCCAGCTTATCCATGTTCATTAAATTTAAAGTGAGGACTCTGCCTTGGAGAACTAACCCAAGCTGGCAGAGTAATCCCAAACTCCAACCTGAGCTACAGGATACCCACAGAACATAGAAAAAAAAAATTTTTCACTAAAACTAAATAAAAGAATAGTTAAAGCTCATCTCAATACCAAGACTACTGAAGAGAAAGAAAAAGGAGAAGCATTTCCAGGCACATAAGCACTTCTCCAGGTGTTGGAAAGGCCAAGCACATGCATCACCTACAGTCAAGGACTCTGAGTTGCTATGGGCTTGTCAAACTGACTCCTGAAGTAAAGCTCCACACACATTTGGGTGGAAAGAACAAGGAATTCATTCCTCCATCTATTTTTAATTAAGTCTGCTGTCATAAGCCAAAGCCCTCATTACAAAGAAAAATATACCTTAAGCAACTTAAGCCTTAAATGTGACTATCCCCTGAAGGGCTGAGAGTTCCTGTGGCAATCTGTTGGACTCGGCTTCCATTCTCCCTTCCCAGCTCTTCCTTCCAAAGTGGAGGGTTAGGAAAAAAGTTTGAGAAAGGCTCACAAAATTCTAGCCCCTTTTTTAATAAGAGGAAATTTAAGAGCAGCCCTACAGTGGTATTAGGGAAACACACCAATAACCAAAGTCATTTGATACAGTATCATGACGATTTCTTTTTCTTTTAAGAGTATATGAGAATCTCAAACCAGAAAAATTTGATCTTTCATTTAAGCTCAGATGCAAATCATTCAGGATATGACAATAAATTTTTCTTCATTCTTAAGCACTCTAGACTTCATAAACCATCCTGATATTCCCACCTATCCCAGAATAATGAACTAAAACACCCCTGACTACTCCAAATTAATTAATTTTTACTTACCACTAACGTACGCAAGCATAACGTACTTGCTGGGGCACGAGGGTCAAGAGCAGCTTGCAAGTCCCAAACTTTAATTTTTCTAAAAGTAAGAGAAGAAAGTCATTACAAAAACATAGAAAATAACATCCAAAGCCCCAGAAAGCTTGGCAGGTTTTCCCTACAGCTACTGCCTCAGGATCAAGCACACTGTGAGAAATACTAATGCTCAAGCTTGTAAGAGCCAGGTAGTTTTGTGTTTCTTTGCAGCAGCCATTCCAGTGATGGCTGTGACAGACAAGCTGACAATGCACACACAGACCCCACTGCAATGTGGGAATGAAGCTGGGCCCACCAACCCCAGGCAGACACTGAGTCCAAAAAAAAGGCTACAGCCAAACCCAGTTCCAGAATTGTTTTCCGTAACTCTCCAGGCAGAGAAAGAAATAGAGAATTTGGATATGGCTGTAACTACCATGAATCCACAGTGCACTGCAGACACTGAGCAAGCCAGAGGTGCTCTGGATAAGTCCTGCCATGAGCCCCACAGAAATGGTCTGCAGACTCCTGAGAGCCCCACAAGAGAAAGGCTAAATTTTGGGAACTTGGGAACTGCTTTCAGACCTACCCATCGTAGGCTCCACTAACAATCCTCTTGTTGTCAAACCTGATGCATCGAACCAGCTCTTCATGGCCTTCTAATACTCTTAAACAGGCACCACATTCAATGTCCCAGAGCCTGGGAGAACACAGGAGAAAGGCTTAAGCACAGCCTGGTTTGCTGTGGGAGGTATGTAATTTGCTTAAAAAAGTGTCATTCAGAGCAGCTGCAGGACACAATATCAAAATTACGGTAATCATTCAAAATCACATGCAAGTAAAGCTCAGATATGTGCTATTCTGGGAAATTATAACAGTTTTTCCTGTTCCCTGTAAGCCATTGATTAGAAATTCAGAAAATGTACTGAACAGGGAGCAATGTCTTCCCCATCTCTCCCAGCAGATGACAAGGTGATACAGCTGTAGGTAAGAGGTTTTGCTCACTCTGAAACCTCAGTGTCCCACTCTTCCATGGGATTGTGAAACATTTACTCCCACACTGAGGTAAGGCCCGTTCATAAACCACCAGCTCCAACGGCAAGCCATGCCAAGGGAGTTTTGCAGCATCAGAGTTGAGGGAAATGCTGTTTTCAGGACAGAAGGCCCCTGTAGCCACGGCAGCAGCTGGTGGCACCCACCTGATGGTGTTGTCCGAGGAGCCGCTGACCACGAGGCGGTCCCGGTACTGCAGGCACGCGATGCCGCGCTTGTGCCCGTTCAGCGTCCGCACAAACTCGCACGTGCTGGTGCTCCACACCTGGGGACACGGGACAAACTCCCTGAGAGCTGCACCAAACAGACTCCTGCATGCACCACAAACCACTAGCAATTCACAGACAGAGGCTGACAGAGGACTGAAAACCCACAGAGCATCTTCAGAGGCAAAGAGCAGGACCTGGGCACCAGTGGGGATCCAGCAGGGACAGAGCCACAGGTACTGCTATGGCACTGAGAAGAGCTGGGGATTGTATCTAAAATATTTTCAGGTGGCAGAGACTGCTCCAAATGATTTCAAAACCTTGATTACACTTCCTAAGTTAAAAATTATTTTAAGAACTGGAGTTAGCAAACACAAAACCCTCACACTTTTTTACCAAAGAAATTATTACAAAGTTATTAGTAAGAGAAATGGCCTCTAAGCTTGGTCTTAACCTTAAAGGATTCAATCAACTTTGCCCATTTTTAATGAACTGTAATTGAAATTGTAACACAGAGTATAAAGTGGCTCATTTTCCAACAGAGTGCAGCAGGATCTCTGGCAGAGATTTGGACATGAACTGCCAAGAACTTCTTGGCCCAGGCTAAGGCAGCTCTGGTTCACAGAGGGCAGGATGGAAATGCCTTTGTTATATTAGTGCACTCTGGTAACTGAAATTTTCTGGCATGTAACAGCCTTTGAATCCAGCCTCTGAATCCTTCAAACATGGCACAGCCTGGCTGAGCTGCTGGGTAGGAAGGTGAGGTGAGGAAAGGCACTGCTGAGGAATTTCATGTCTGGACAGAACTGCCAAGTGAAATTAAAAATACCACTGGAAAAAGGCACAGGATGTGCCACATTTAACAGAGCAATTGATCTCGAGACAAAGTTCAAACAGCAAATGGGCTTTGCTTTTCCATGAAAATATTCCAGTGCAGTTGTGTGCCCAAAGTCACCAAGAGGCAGCAAGAGGAGGACATTGCTCACTGAGAGACACCAGAAAGGTCCTGGAGCAGAGCTCTGCCACTGACCTTGATGGTCCTGTCCCCCGAGGCTGACACAATGTACTTGTCATCAAAGTCCACCACGTTGACAGCAGCGCGGTGTCCCACCAGGACGCGGCGCAGGGTGATGTCCGTGGGGGAGGCCATGTCCCACACGGCGATGGACCTGTCCTTGGAGCACGTCACCATCAACCCATTGCTGAACCTCAGATGGAGCACGGCCTCGTTGTGGTGGATCAACGTGTTCAGAACTTCCCCTGTGTTCACATCCCAGACTCTGCAGGAGAGAGGAGCATTATCTCAAGGGAAGCAATGGCTCCGCGGGGTGAGAACAGGCACAGGCCTCCTCTGGTCTCCAAGGGAGAGCTCTGGCTGGCTCACCCATGGCAGCAAGCTAGGAAGATGGGTGCTGGAAGTGTCCTCACTGCCAGTAGAACTGCAAGTCAGGCAGCGCTCCATATGTACTGAACACCCTCTCAACTAGAGTCACAACTACAATGTGTCAGAGGGCACTAAAAGAAACCCTAACTTAAGAAATTACCGCATAAGTGGCCATCAGCCACTTCAAAACTTCAGGATATGCCTTGAATCCCTGAGGTCATATTCCTTCAAAATTCCTAATGCTAAAAGAACAAAACAGATTTTGAAGAAAAGTTATTTAATATGATCCTTTGCCAAGTATGAGTATCTTGCTTCTGGAATCCAATATCACATTAATCTTAGGGATGTTTTCTGATATTTAGAGATTATTGAAAATATTCCCAGCCCTGATACTCAAATTATTTTTGTACAAGAACTTAATGCTCACCTCACTGTAGAATCTGAAGATCCAGTTACAATAACTCTTTCATCATACTGCAGACAAAGAACTGAGCCAGTATGTCCCGTCAATACTTTCAAACATTCTAAGCTTGTTTTGTCCCAAATCTGTTAGAAACAAGGATAAATGGCCTATCAACATCAAGAACATGGATCTGACCCTTGATCATTGTCACAGTTCTGAAGAAAGGAGGAAAACCAGACCCCATGAGGTCTGTCCCATCAGTGGTCCTTGTCCTTCCCTTTAACTTTAGGAAGTCTTGATGTTAAGTTTTCGAGAGAACAGTGAAATAACCAAGCACCATGTGATCACATCCTGTCCAGCCAAAGAAGTGCCAGGGAGGATGAGCATGGAAGCAAAGTCCTGGCAGTGAAACAGCTACAGCCAAGGCCAGTGGCACAGAGACCTCCTCCCTTCTGAGGGAACCCTGATTTCAGAGCAATCTTTATAGTTAATGGACGTGATCCCTGGCAGTGCCCCAGCTTCCAGAGCTGAGGGCAGGTGAGGACTTTGCCAGGCTCAGACATACATCCCATCCTCACCAACCAGACACTGTCCCATGGAGAGACACCAAAAAGCACAGGCAGCTTCCTCACAGCCAGGGAAAGGACAAAGGGAAGTGCTCACCTTAATGGAGTTATCTCGTAGGCCACTGATGATCTTCTCATCATCATACTGTAAACAGTAGACCCCTTTGCTGTTCTCAGAGCGGCACTGGATCCTTTGCAAGTTGTGCCTTCCACACCTCCAGTTGGATTCTATAGTCTGACCAGAAGGCAAAAACAGGAGTTGGACGTCAGGCTGCAGCAGGACTGTCCCACACCCCCCAGCTTCCCGCTTTTACACACATCATCCTTGAATCTGAAGGACATAAAACAAATCTCTTCTCCTACACCCAATAAAGACACACAAACCACAATGAATTACCATTAGCACTTCTGTAATTTGTTGTGACAAAAGCTGTGTTTATCAAGGAAATCATGGTCAACCAGTGTTCATGAGAATTTCGCAAGGAGCCATTAGAGAGATACCTTCCAGAACCATTTCCCCCCACATTTATGTTACCAACTAACAAAAGCTGTAAAGATGAGACCAGGAGCTCACATGGTGCCTTGTCTAGCCTCACCTGGGTGACCAACATTACAGAACTGCTGATTCCAACACATGGGTGAAGGGATTTCCTTCCCCTACCCAGCCACATCACCCATTAATTGTATGTACACACCTTGGAAAGAGGTGTTGAGATATGAAACTCTCCTGAAAGTACCTAAAATCCTGATAAAAATAAAGCTCAATAGGAACTGTAAGGTTTCAAATAACCCAAACTTGCTTTCCTCCCCCCACTTGAAATCTGTGTAATTCTCAACATTTTCATTCTGAGAGGCATTTTTAAGGAGAGACCTGACATGCCTTAAAAAGCTGCTGTTTCACAGCAGAACCAGCATGATTTTCAGGTCTTAATCAGCTTTACCCCTTGCTGTAAAATCAATGCTAGATTCAAAGAAATCTAGGGTTTTGGACAGGAAGATCCTAACACAATCAAAAGAGAATATGCGCCCAGAACTCCAGGACAACACCTGCAGCACCTGGGCAGGCTGGGATGCTTTCATCAGAATAGGCCATCTGTTTAGCTATTTCCCTGGAATTTCCCCAAATTCTGCATGGAAACCTGGGGAGAAGCTGACAGACTAGCAGTTTGTTTGGAAAAGTATATTTATATGTAATCCTAACTTCCAAAGCAGTAGCAGGCACCTCTGCAGCTCCTCCAAAATTAAAACTGACTGAACCCTCAGTAAAGACAGAAGTGGAGTGTGACTGTGACATCCCAATTCTAGGAAAACATGTCTGCTTCAAGGGAAAACTGACTTTCCACTTTGTCTTCCACTTGTTTGCTCCTTAATTTATCTCCCATTATGGAATTTGGAGAGAATTATACCCAGTCCTAATACAAACCTGATGTGCCCCAGGAATTTGTCTAAATCACAGAGATGAAGAAATGCTTCTAGAGGAGCAGCTGACAGATCACTCACCCCATCATTCCTTTCCAATTTGGTGTGGAAACCACTGAACAGCATAGTGAGGGTGTCAGTTTGGGATCAGCTCTCCTGGCCAGCCAGTGCCCTGCTGATTGGCACACTGTGAGCTGGGCCTAAAGCTGACACTGCTCTGGAGAGATCAGCCCAGCTCATCTCCTTGCTCAGCATGCAATGCAGGGCTGGAGGGGGAAGGACAGGCAATACCCAAGCTTTATCTTATCTGAGCTAGGAGGGCACAACCGCAGCTCATCAACTCCTCTAACCCTCAGAAACAGGAGAGGATTGCAGGCATCAGCAGCAGGAGCCAATATGATTATAGATCTGAAGGCAGGAGATTTAAATATGCAATAGTAACACTGGAGGCACAGGAGATAAGGTATCAGAGATCGCAGTCAGCCAATTTAAATAGTTTTAGAAACTATTTATGTTCAGATACTCAGTTCTGAATAGTCTTAAAGGGGGAGCTTCCCCAAAGCCCTGTTGTTGGAAAGGTCTGCACTAAGCTTGCACCAAACATGTGCCAGAGGAGTTGTCAATGCTCTGTGAGCACTCCCACACTTCAGCTTCCTGTGCCAGCCACTCCCAACAGCTCCAGAACACACTGGGAACCCCCCAGATCAGAAATGCTACTGGCCACAGCTCCCAAAACAGAGCAGCATCCAGTGGAAGTTTGCTCACCAGGCACTGAGGACACGAGCTGGCCCAATTCTAACAGGTTCACTATAGGAAGCTTCTTCAGCTGTTCCCCATAAGAAAATGCTGGCTTCAGATAAAGGAAACTAAAGTCTTGTGTACCTCTATGAGGGCAGTAAGGCACATTCAAGTGCACATTTCAGTTCTACGAGGAGCTGTCATTCCATGTAGCCATTATGTGGTGTGGCTACTGTGGGAAAACAGTGCCTGTTTTTTGAGAACTTGTAAAATCCCCTCACACTGCTTTAATTCTTGGGATGCTGGGAAAGCAGCCATGACACACAGAATGTACAGCAGCACTTCCCTGGGCAGTGGAGTGAAAACAGATGTACACATCCAGAGAAATAACATTTGGGATGACTGAACAGACTGAGTGGGTGGGCAACTGGAGGACCCTCTGAGAGGAACATGGTTAATGAAGAACTGGCAACCACATGAAAGCTTTTGCTACAGGGAATTTCTGGTCATTGCTCCATGATGCAGGGAGTGAAAGTCTTCATCTGCACTCTCCTGCCAGGAGAGATCCTAACTGGATACACCGAGCAGGGAGGACAGCAGGTATGAGGGGTGTCTATGGCTCTTACTCAGGGCTGAAGAATCCCACAGTTTATTTGTGTATTTTATGGTTCCAGACCAACACCCAGACATCCAAAACCCACTACTGTACTTTCTACAGATGCCCTCAAAAATCTTCTCTGCCTCTGAACTCGGGTTTCCCCAGTAAAAGGCAGAACAGTCTCCTGAGTTCACACCCACAGTTTCTCACACTCTCCTAAAAGGTCACCAGAGCAACAGCAGCGAGGAGCTCACAAATGCTGCACAACCAACTAAATCTGGACATACAAAGGAAAGATCAAGCATTTGCCACAGCAGGAGAGACATTTGGCAGCTGAAGTAGTGCACAAATGGATTGAAAGAAAAAAAGACATTTATTGAGTAAAGTACAAACAGAAAATAGTCCAAGATGTAGAGGTATAGCCAAGCCTTGACCATGCCAGAATATATTCACTGGTGCAAAGATGCACAGTGAAAAAAATGCAATTAATGTGCATTAACAGCTGGAACATTAACTATACATCGGAAGTGTTAAGGATAATCTACTAGGAACAGGGGGTTTTTTACCATTGGATAATATACACTGTGTTCAGCTTCTTGGCTAACAATTGCATTTTTATCCTTGTGAATGTTATTGCAGAGTAAGTGGGTTTATCTTAATCCCATAAACCAAGGAGTTTCTGTTCCCTCTGAATGCACAATTCTCCTGCAGGACAAGTGAGGCAGGAAAAAGCAAAAGGAACATCCACATTTGTTACGTATGTAGGGATTTCTCCTGACGCATTAGGCCATGAAAATCCAACCCTTTGTTCTTCTCATGCTTTCCTCAAAGGGAAAAAGGAAAATCCCTCCTGACCATAGCAGAGGGAAGGCACAAGTAAATGAACTAGTGTCACCAGGGTAGAGAGGGCTTAATAATTAAGTCATGATAAATTAAGAGGGTCTGATAAGCAAAGACCCCCCAGGTCCCCTTCCAAGACTGCTCCCCAGCCCCTTTCTGTTAAAAAGCAGGAGTGCTGTGGGGCAAAGGGAAGCAAAGGAGCCAAGCCAGGGCCCCACCCCGTGGCCAGAACAGCTGAAGGGGGAGTTCTGCCCTGCTCAGAGGAGAGAGCTGCAATCTGTGCCATGCACCACAAAAACTTGGTCCCTCCTGCTCCAAAGCCTCCCTTCTCCTTGGCCAGCTTCATTTTTAAGAAATGCTTTTTGGAAAGTGCCTGTGGAATAGAGATTTCAAAGGCTGACTGAAAAAACTTCTAGGCATATAATGTTGACCAGATTCTCCCCACACACGCACATGAAATTTCTCCAGCATCATAATTAAAGCAGTACTAAACAAACCCATTTCCCTCAGAAATTATAGCCTGTAATCTTCATAAACAACCAAGTCCCAGTGCTGGCAAGGACTTAGGGCAAGAACTGACTTCTTCCCCTTTTCAAATTGTCCCAAAGCTTTAAAATTTCAATTCCAGTCCTAAAACCTGAAGTCTTCCAGAAATCAGAAGACTACAGCATGTTTATCTGATGGCCTGGCACCACATCTTTCTAAAGAATCACATCTTTTTTCTTCAGAAAAACCACATTTTTATTCTCATCTTAATTAGGTGGACCCAAGTCTCCAGGGAAACGAACTGAGGGCACTCACCATGTGCCTCAAGATAAGGAGAACATTTATTAAATAAAAGTCTTCTCAACTCATCACCAGAAATAGATACTTGTGCTAATCCTGAGGGGACAACACAACAGTTGGCCAAGCTTCACAAATAATATGGAAAAATTCCAGGGACTTGGGGTTCTGGAGTCAGCAGGATTAAACCTCCCAGCCTGGCACTGTGCCTGAGGACAGGGCCCCATGGCAATGGCCACCCTGCTCCAGCCAGGGGCTCTCCACAAACAAGGTCTCACACCAAGTCCAGTTTTCTAGGATAAACCCCCAAAGCCAAACCCAAAAAGGTTTTCCCTTTTAAAAAAGCTCCTAGAGAACCCTGGCAGTTCAACATGTGACTTGGAGATGTTTGGAGGCACTGAACTACCTCTTGTGAAATAAAACCTAATTAAATATTTGGCTTCACAGTGGAGGTGGGGAGTAACCATCTCTTTCCAAGAATTTGGTTTCTGATCAGTAAATGTCCTCTTATTTTCAAATGAAATGACTTCAGAAGTGACATTAATTTCCTAAAATGTGTTTGGCATGAAGAAAACAGACACTGGCACCACCACATTTCTGGACAGGCAAAGGAAGCTCCCTCTGTCAAACCCCTGCCTGTGTTACCTTCAGCTCCCACCGCTCTGGCTGCATGAACTTTTGACCCACAATGCAAGTAGAGCCCAAGGGAAAGAAATCAAATTTGCTGTTTATCATTCCTCATTTTTCCTTCCAATTGTTAATTCAGGTTTGGGATTATTTTTCAAATTCTGACAGAAAGCACATTCTGCTTTGAGCTCATCTCTGCCCACAACCCAATTTAGCATCAGCTGCAGTAAATTCCTAACTCTTACCCTTGGAAACAATCTAGCAGGATTTGGTCAATCTTTGTGGTAAAATACCAAATGACAAGATTTTTGTGCTACATCAAATATATTTAACTGTATCCATCTTTTGGATTTGTTTTTAACAACAGGTATGTAATTCTATACGTGCTAATATGGCTCCCTAAACTCTGACCCTCTGACAGACACAGGAAGATCTCATTAAAGATCCAGGCAAATATTTGAAGAAAAAACATTTTGGTATTCAGAGATAAAAAATTCTTCATCACATCTAAATGAAAGTCTTATTTAAGAGCTTCTACACATTGCTGTGAAACATGGAAGAATGGAGAAAGTACAAAACTGTGGAAGAGCAACAAAAACAGGAAGAGAAGGAAAAAGTTAATCTTAAACCTAAATTTGGTTGTTATTGGTACTCGCTCTTTACATTTTGAACAGTGTTAAAAGTTTCTTTTGACAGCCCTTTAGGGAAGCAATTTGTGAAAAGTACTTTAAAGGGTGATTTATTTGAAAAATTCTAATAGACTTCTGGAAGTGGAAGAATTATTGGGCCCTTGACTATCAGCACAAACACCAACCCCACTCCAGGTCAAAGACCTGGGAAACAGGAATATTTCAGAGGGCTTGAGGGAATAGGCAAACAGGGGAAAATCTGCTGTGGCAGAAACACTCATTGCTACAATACATTTTTAAATCCTACTCTTTTCCCAGTCTTAGCTATTCAGCCTGACAATTTTTTATATTTATTATTGATATTGGGGATGAAAGAAGCACAAGGGGTTTGGGGTTCTCCTACTTGCTTCATCCTAGCAAGAAGTATTCAGTTCAGGAGCTTTGTTTCTGTGCACAGGAAAGCAAATCTACAGCAACTGAAGAACCAAACCATTAAAGAGCAGATTGGGATAATTCAAAAGCCCTCAAAACACCTTCAAGGAGTCCTTCCATCTCTAATAACAACAGTGCCTACACAAATGGTCCATTTATACAAATGAGTTTCAGAAGAATAACATTGTTACAGTAATGCCAAACAGTTTTAGTGTTCTATGCAAACATTTTCATGCTGCTTTTTGCCCATTTTCTTTATAGAACTAGGCCAGAATTGTGCAGAAAGCAAGAAAATATCACACTAAAAGCTCTTAATCCCACAGACTTCTTATCAAGTGCAACATCACTCTCATTCCCTACAGGGAAAATACATCTCCCCTCCAATAACTAAGTGGATCATTCAGTTCACAGGTAAATACCAAGTTTGGTCATATTTTGCCTAGGGTGTATTTCATACTCAGTTCTTTATCTTTAAATGTCTATAAATGATGTAGCAAGGTTTATAAAAAGGTATCTGGAAAATACATTTTGGCTTCCAGGAGAACCATTTTACAGCTGGGTTCAGAGTTGAGGATAATTTTGTTTCCTGAGTGCCAAGCAGCACAAATTGCCATTTGCCATTCCACACAGTGATTCCATTAGTTCACATCTGTCTTGAACATCAAAACACATTTCCCCACTAATGAATTTCAGACCAATAATTTCCAATTCTGAAATAAATCCATGACAGTCTGTGGTGCAACTTCAGAGCTTTGTGGTGAGTACAGCAAACAGAGCAAAACACATTTTTTCCTGCTGGCAGAACACTGCGATGATCCTGATTTATCAGAAATATTTCAAAACCACCAAGGCAAGCCCAGCTCTGTAAACCTCAAAACAAGATAAGCAAAATTTTATATCTGAAGCTTCTTTACCACTGATGCCCCAGTGGGTTCATCATCATAAGAGTGATGATTGTTCCCATCAAACCACTGGAGAGAGGAAAAATCCCCTATGAGGACCAAAGCTGTATTTATAACAGTCACTGCTTTAGAAGTGATAAGTTGCATTTTAAATAATTGGTGTTTAAGGCATGAACCTCAGATCACCTTCTAAGTGAGTGTATCACCAATATATTGAATATTGAGCAATACATGGAATTATCTTAGAGTAGTGTGTCCTAAACCTGCTATTTTATTAAAATCCATAGTCTCAGAAGAGTTCCAAAACTCTTTAAATGCAAAAACCAATGCACCTGCTGTGCCAAGGAGCTGCTGAGGCTGTTTTTTACATCATACCAAGAGCAACAGTGAAACCCATTATCTGTCCTGCAGACAGGACAGATCAGAACACCTACCTCTATATCCTGGATTATCTTTGGGTATAAGGACCTGTAAAACGAATTGGGGGGCCCATCTGTTGGTCTGTTTTTAAACAGGTACTGATCCCTAGAAAGAAGGAGAAACACAGTTTTCAATGTAGCACAAAGAATCCAAACTTCATAGGAATGCAAAGCCTGCCCAGAACAAACCCTCAGCACATATTCTTAGGAATACCTGCAAGAATTTTTAGTATCACTATTACAACCCTTGTGACTTTGCAATTTGACAAATATTTAGAATGTGCAAGGTTAAAAAGGTAACAAGTGCTTTCCAGTTCTGATTTCCTGCTCCACAAGGTTTCATCCTTGTGCCATCCCCTTGCTCTGTACATGCCTTTGCTTAGGCACACCACTAGAGAGCATAGGGAAACAGGTTTCTGAGGCAGAACAGCTCTCCAGAAACTTGGGAAGGACAAGAAAACTCCATTGTAACAAACAGCAAGGGTTTTCTCTTTGAGAGGCTTCTGCAGCCCAAGCTGCTATTTTATACTTTAAGCAAAAACAAAACAAAACAAAAACAAAACCACCACACGAACAAAACAAAACAAAAATCCAAAACCAAACCAAACAAAAAAAAAGTCCAATTGGAAATACTTCACTTGAGAAAGAGCCCTGCAATTGTGTTGTCACTATTTTTTGTGAGCTGATGGAACTGATAGTTCTCCTCACAATATAGAAATTCCAAATTTGCACAGACTCAAGCAAGAAAAAATGGCAAGAGACATGGGAGCACAAAAGGACGGGGAGAAAGGCAGAGCCGAAAGGGGAGCTGGCAGCTTTGGCCTCCAGCCCCAGCAGAGATCAGGATCTCAGCGATCCCCATTTACTGAAAGCTTCTCTTTGGGCAGAGCTGGCTGGGAGGGATGTGTGCAGCAGGCCAGGCAGCAGGGGAGCTCAGGCACTTACCAACCCCTCCTCTCCGAGAGCCCCTTCCAGAGCGGGTCTGTGCGTACCATCCTCTCAATGAGCTTCTTCCACAGCATCCCCTCCGAGATGACTCTCTGCCACTCCTTACACACCAGCTCTGCTGCACACAAGGATCTGGCATCGAGATAGGAAAGGATGTTTTCTGCTATGTGATCTAAGCCTTGCTCTACAAAGAAATGAAGAGCAGTCAGTGAGTGCACAGAAAGAACCAAACCAGCTTTGCAAGACACTGAGAATCCAGAGCTTTGGGGCATGGCAGTAACATGAGAACACTGCTATTGGAGAGGCACCAGTGAGTGCACACAGAGACACCAAAATATGTCCAAGGATTTATGTCTTTCCTGCCTGTTGGACCATCCTTCTGCCCTGCAGGGAGAATCAGCACAACAGGGCAGCAAAAGCAGCATGGAGAGGCCCAGGGATGGGATTCTCCCCTGCACTCTTCTCTCCTGAAATCCCGGAGCAGGGATCACAGCTCTGGTGTCCCCAACACAAGGACATGGAACTGTTGGAGCAAGTCCAGAGAAGGCCATGGAGCTGCTACAGGGGCTAGAGCAGCTCCCCTATGGAGCCAGGCTGGGAGAGCTGGGAATGTTTAGCCTGGAGAAGGGAAGGTTGTGTGGAGACATCAGAGCCCCTGCCAGTGTCTGAAAGGGCTACAAGAAGGTTCCTCTGCATCAGGAACTGGAGTGCCAGGACAAGAGAGAATGGCTTCCCTGTCAGAAGGCAGGGTTAGATGGGATATTGGAGAGCAATTATTCCTTGTGGAAAAGTCACTGCTAAGTCTGCTCCTTATTTGAAAGGACCTGCCATTTTGCTTTCCATAAAACTCCCCTGAACCTGAGATGTTGAATAACTTAATTTTCATGAGTAACATACACTTCTTGGCCAAGCATGAAAAACATCTTTCAAACCAGGAGATGACGACCTTTTTAATTTTCCACTTTATCTCATGACAGCCCACTTTAGGCTTCAAATAGTCCTGACAAATCAAAGGAACTACTGTTATTTTTTTAGAGCATGAAGAAAGTATATTCATACAGTCCTCCACTGCACACTGAATTTCACATGACCTTCATAAAAATGAACAGCAGCAGAAAGCAGAAACTAATACATGTGAGTCTTACTCATTTATTGATTTATTCTACATAATTTAGATAACTATAAGTCTAGTAGCCCTGTCCTTCGTGTCTGTGCTTTAGACCTGATACTATTATGTTAATTAGGGTAAATAGTTGACATTTCTTTTAGATGTAGCAATTTAAACCTGTGAGCTTCTGCTAGCAGTAAAAATCTCAAGAATAGATTTTATATCAGATAACATGCAGGACTAAGCTTAAGACACATTAAGGCCTGAAATAGCTGCATATCCCTATTTTACATTAAATGACAGGGATTTGTTTTAGAAAATTTCTGAAATAGGTACTAAAACCTTTCCATTTTTTGAAATAAAATGAATTTGACATCTATTGGTAGACTTTTCAAAGGAAAGTATGACACCCTTCCCTTAAGCCTCTACAGAGTCTTTGCAGTTTACAGAAAATGGTGAAAAAGAGCTGTTGTTGATTAGAGGGAGCAGCTGAAGGTTTGGTTGAGTTTCAATAATAAATTCAAACAATTAAAATTCACAAGGATTTCAAAGGTCTGTGTATAAATATCACTTTGTATGAAAATAAAACCCAAATGTGGGATGTCAACCCTCTAAATGTGATCAACATTAGATACAAAACAGTCACTTAGATCATACCACGGTTACCACTCTGTTACTGAAAACAAGGGAAGTCAGATTCCATCAACTCTTTCTCCATTTCTCCTACATTCTCACAGGTGTAAAATTCATCAGGACAGTGAGCAAAAACTACTCCTGTTTACAACAAAAGAATTCGACTTCTTCAAGGCAAGCAAAGTCATCTTTTAAAAATGCACCATCCTGAGTTGGAAGGGGCCCACAAGGATCATCAACTCCAACTCCTGGCCCTACATAGCATGACCCCAGAAATCCCTTTATATTCCTGAGAGGGGTCCTCCAGTTCTCCTTTTATGTGACTGCAGCCCAACACAGGATTGATTTCCATCAGCTGGGATTAAGTTCCTGGGTAAATTCAGATAGATGTTCTTTGCATGCCACAGCACCTTCAAGGAAGGCTGAATATGGGAACAATTCCCAGTATTTACACTGGGGACAAGTAACAGAAGTTGTAAAGATGTATTTTGGCATATACAAATGCGGTGTAAACAAGTGTCACCTTACAAAGCTCCCAAAATTTTCTTAAGCAGAAATATATAACATGAAAGATCTGTATAATTCTGTATCAGCCTTGAGGTATAAAAGCAAAGAAAGTAAAATTTTCGTTGAAGATCAGACTTGCACATGAAGGGTCTGGAGAGTCAGTCCTAGGAGGAGCAGCTGATTTGGAATTTTAGGATTTAAGCTTTTAGGTTTTGCATGTCCTCTTCCACCCTCAGTGTTCAGAACTGTCCTGGCATTCCTGGGACAAACCCACAAGCTGCTCACACACTGCAGCGTGAAGCCGTGCCAGTGGGCTGCCAGGGGTACACAAAACACACTGACCACTTAGCCAGGCTGACTTCCCACTCTGCAAACAATGTCCACACTTTCCCCTTCCCAAGAATCATATGAATCTTGCTGCCCCCAGCAGCAAGAATCCAGAGATACAATTTCTTCCAAAAATTAATTGAAAAATAAATACAACTTTACCACCAGATAACAACCTAGGGATTCTATATATCCACTATTGCTGCTCTGCATTTTTGTAAAAAAAAAATCATAGAGCAAGTGTAAAAACAGATTTCCTATCTGAACATATCTACACAGGCAGACACCTGTGGGTGTCAGAAGAGGTTGTGAGTAACTGAAAACAGGAATCAGGGCTGGACAACACAATAAAAATCCACAAGTGTTTTTGCTCTCAGGTCAGCAACAAGATTAGACAAACTAGATGCACTCATCTAAGCAAAAACTCAGAACAACATTAACATGTAAAAGTTCCTAAACTAAAATGTCTCTGCAGTAGCATTTGCTGTATGAAAAAGGAGTTCAGACCAAAGCTTGCACATACACAACTTCTGTGACAACTCAGTTCCAATTCCAGCACAAATTCTTTGGGATACACCAGTCCAACTGTTTTAACGTGGAACAACACTGGCATCCAGTGGCCAACTCAATTAATCACAGAAGGCATTTGGCCACCCTGCTGCCCTTCTCTGCAGCAGGGAGCAGCACTGGCTCTCCAAGGGACAACGGGAATGCAGAGGATGCTGCCAAGGGGCTGCACAGCCCAGAGCAGCCCCGTGCTCCCTGCCCCGGGTTTACCTGGCAGCGCAGTGATGAAGTCCCGCTGTAACATGGGCTTCAGGTAGGAGTTAATATGTCCATGCTGATAGTGACACATCCGGGAAATGAGGTGTTCCACAAATTCCACTTGATCTGATTCAGACCACTGGTCAAAGTATTTTATACACAAGTCTTTTTCCTTTTCGTAGTTTCCTTCCGATGGTCTTTTTCTTGAGACAATCACAGATGAAGTTCCATTACTTATCTGGGGTTGGAAAAGGAACATTACTTATATATTAGTATATATTTAAATACTGGTATTTATATATAAACTATAGGAACAGCTTAATAAAATCTCTCTCAAGGAAGAACATGTAAGAAGATGCAAAGAAATAATCACAACTAAATTTTAAAACACATTATTCAAGCAATTAGTTACATCAGATGAAATTCAAAGACTTTTCAAAGTCTTTCACAGACTTTGCTCCTAAATTACTTCTTACACTGAAAGTCTTGAATTCTTCCTTTACACCTCTTACCACTTAAAATATAAGGGATATACATTTGCCAGCTCAAAGCAGTGGTTTCTGGGCACATTGCAATTTGTCTCCACAAATGTTTTGCTCAGATTCTGGCAGTTAAAATAAGAATTCGAGACCCTCATGTCAGTGTTGCACTGATTGTCCATAAATAAAAACTGAGAATCAAAGGCTTGGTTTGTTTCTGCAGAGCAGCTCCTGTTAATGTTTGGGACGTGCACATGAATGAAATATAAATTTTAAGGAATTTAGAGATTTTAGAACAGCTAAGATTTTAGTTAGAGATAAGCCTTATTAGAGTTAATTACAATAAATTAATAGGCCCTGATAAAGTTAAGAGTTTGTAGTTAACTAATAATTGATTGCTTGTCAACACAATGTTTAGTTAGCTGGGTTTATAATGAAGAATACACAAACTGACAAATAGCTTTTAGGAACATAAGACAGTCGTGGGCCTCCTCAGTTCCGAAACCAACTGAAGACAAGGAATGGGAGTTCTACCAAGAGTTCATTTGTCATATTTGCATTGAAAAGGTAGAAAGGTCACAATGAGGAAGACTTCATTGACTTCCTCATTTTGGGACCCCTCCCCATGAAAGGGACACCGACCCATTTTAAGGAGCAAACTACACATGCTGAATAGCTTTTGAAATTATTAGAATACAAAGTGAGGAATGGGATGTACCAAAATGATGAACATGTATTTGTATTTTGGGTATTCAATACTTGTATGGATAAAAGGGCTCTGTAATCACTTGGAAGGGGAGGTGTGGATTTGGGAGCTATCCCCCACACCGCCCAGTCTCACAGTAAACATACCTTTCTAACTTTAAACTGTTAGAGAGTTTTTGTCTGTCACAGTTGGATATCGGTACTAGATCAATATCCATATTTTTTTAATAAATCATTTTGGCAACCACAGCAGGACTCTGCTCTCTCTGGCCGTGGGGCCAGTGGGGGTCCGGGACCCCTCTGGGCACCCACCAGAAATTTCTGGGAAGAGAGATCCTGTGATCCCACTGACTACCCGGGGAAAGACCAGAACCTGTTGGAACTACGGACAAGAGGTATGTTTGTATTTGGCGAAAGGTACCTTGTTATATAAGCAGTTCATAAGACACGAGAGACGTCTCGTATCCGAGGTTTGGTAACCCGTGTCCCGGAGTGGGGACCCAGGAGTTTGGTGGTCTGTGGCTCCGAGAGGAGACGGTGGCAACAGAGGTTTAGCAATCTGTGTCTCATAGTGGAGACAGCAGCTGTGGTGCTGTGGATTTGGACTGGAGCAGGGCTGGCTCTGGTTTCAGCTTGTAAATTAAAGGTGCACTTTAGTAATCCATAATTTGGGTGGCTAGTCTGGATTTTTGGGATGTGAATAGTCCCGCTGTGACAATTTGGGTTGTGGCCTCAAGTGCTGTATGTGTGTGTATTGTAACCAGATCCGTGTTTCTTTGATAAGTTTGTGATTTCGTGTTTGGGTATTGTATTTGTTGTGGTTTGTATTGTGAGCATTATAATTGGTGTGATTTGGTGTGTGTTATTAATTTTTTTAAGTGTTTTTAGGAGTTTTGTGAGCTTAAAGTTGTAAGAGGTTTGTGAAATTGCTGTTTGCTTTGCAGAGAAACACTGACTTTTTGGGAAAGAGGACTGATTTAAAGTATTTGCATTGTGCTTAGATTGTGTGTGAGCCTAGACAGCATGTGCTTTTGGCTGTAAAAAATTTATATGATATGTTGATGGATGAAAAGGCTTTGTGAGTTAAATTTGCTTGTTTTATAGTTAGAGGGTGAAGTGAAAAGCCTTAACTATTCCTGAGATAGTCCTGGTGATTAGGAGGTTATTTGTTTCCCGGGTAACTAGAGGGGAATCCAGCCTTTGTAGCCTCGGGATACATTTTATAACTGCCTGGAAAACCCCAAGTTTAGAGAGTATTTGTTGGTAGCTTACCACCGCTCCTCCACTTCTTGTGGAGGGATTTGTGCCGTGCTTCGGCTGAAGTTTGTGTGATTTTAACAAGACCTTATTAAAACTTTTGTTGAATGTGTTTGGGGTAGTGAAAAAACCCCTGGCTTTTTTTTTTTTGTGAGCATAAGCTATTAGCGTTTAGAGTCAGGTCCTCCCGAGAAAAGAGAAACACGGTTTTGCAGCGGTGAATACGCAGCTGAACTCTGTGTTTTGTAACATTTTTCATCAAAGGGTGAGAGAAATTTGGTCAGCAATCTGAAAAGCTTCGGAACGGGTTATAGCAGTGATTTACACAGCTTTCAGTGCAGCGTGGAGTTGTAAAATTTCTGTCGAAACTCGACTGATACTTTGCAAGATTCCCATTTGTCCTTGTTTACAGCAGGACAGGAGATACGCTTGGCTCTCAGCTGAACACCTGCTACAGTGTATGAAAAGTTGCTTACAGTTGTTAAACGAATTTTAACAGTAATATACCCAGAGCAAAACATAGCAGAGGATTTGATTTAATGGGTGATTAATAACCTGCAATTTAAATAGAGTACTTAACAATTTAATGAGTTTTTTTTTTCCCTTTTCCTTTTGTATAACAAGCTTTTCCTTAACAGCTGCTGCTCTGAACCCTTTCAGAAGGACTGCTAAACTTTTTTAGAGAAAAGAAGAAAATTATTTAACAAGTTGCTTTATCCCTTTTGTTTGCTAGCATAGCTATATGACCAGGACCGGGAGACACAGGAACCAAGAGCCTGGTTCAGGGGTATTCCCCTGCCCAAATAAAGATTGCTGTTGTAATCTGTGGATTGTGTTTCAGAATGCAGTTTGTCACGACCCATGGGTCCAAAAACAGTACAGGTGGCTAATACCTAAGACTGGAATTTTTGCTTTCTGTCGTACAAAGGAACAAGAGGCTACCCAGAAAGTTATACGAATTTTGTTGGCAACTAACTGGTCAAGAGGTCCCTGGTAGCAGTAAAATATTTGAATATTGGAAAACAGTTTCAGGAACCTTGAAGAAACCAGTGGAAATTCTTAAGAGTTGAGTGTGGCCAGCATATTTTTGTACCAGATGAATACCAGGTAAAGCTTAGAAACTGGGATAAGATCAAAAGACATTTTGAAAAAAAAAATCCTAAACATGGGGGCAAATGAGAGCAAAGAGATTCCCAGAGGAACCCCTTTAGGTGTATCTTAACACACTGGAAAGTGCTGCTGGGCTATGGTGGTAGTGAAACTAAAAGGGAACTTGTCAAATTTTTTACGCAGTGGTGGCCACTCTATAGACTGGATGAGGGGGTTGAAATGGCCAGCAAATGGTACTTTAGACTATGAGACTTTATTACAGTTAATGTTTTTCCTTAGGCGTGAACAAAAGTGGCAAGAAGTAACTTATGCTGGTATGTTTTTCAGTCTTCAAAATCACCCTGAGTGGCAAAGGGACTGTGGGATTAGGCCACCGTCTGATCCACTGGTACTGGCTCTTGGAAAGGATAATAAAGCTAACAAGGAAAAGCTCAAATGGTGTTGCAGCACATGTTCAATAAATCAAAGATGCTCACACCCAAGTAAAGTGTATCCAACAGAGATCTTAAAACAAGAGACAGTAGAGGCACTTTTACCACCCCCAAGAAACCAGGGAGGGGGGTAGAGGAGAGGGTGCGGGAACAAAGGAACCCTCACCAACTTTCAGCCTCCCCTAACCTATCTTCTGGTTCATCTGCCCTGGGAAAAGCAGTAATTGAAGTAGGGGTTTCCCCACCAACTCCTAAATGAAGGGAACCCTCGAGGTTTTATCCACCATTGCCCAGTAGTGATAGTGAATGGGATGAATCTGAACCAAGTCCCAAGTCTTCCCCACAGGGTCCAATAGCATCAAGGACCAGAAGGCAAACCAGAATGAACCCACCCCCACAAGCAACTGGAAAGCAAACTTTCAAAAGAGTCATACAAGCACCCTTAAGGCAAGCTATAGCCTCTGACAAGGAGCCAAGGATAATTAAGGTCCCCTTTTTCTCAATGGATTTAGAGGCTTGGGAAAAGACTGCTAAGGATTATCGAAATGACCCGACAGGCGCTGCCAAAAGGTTAAAGTTCATTTAAGGAGCATTTACCTGACTGGGCAGACATGCAGTTACTACTTGATGCTTTAACAGACACAGAGAAGCAGTTGGTTTTAAAGGTATCCAAGGACTTAGCTGAGGATGCTTGCGTATCAACACAAGAGGATATTAAAGATGTATTTCCTCTTCAGGACCTGATGTGGGATCCCAATGAACCTGATGAATTAGCACAGCTTAAGAGATATCAAGACTTTATAGTGAAAGGACCAAAACGAGCAATTCCTAAAACTATAAACTGGTCAGCTTTATATGCTGTTAAACAAGGTCCCTCTCAACACCCTCTGAATTTTTAGACCACCCGCGGGATGCAATGCGATATAACACCCTGGACCCTGAATCAGAGGAAGGAATACAACAACTAATACATTTGGTTTTAGGACAATCCACAGGCGGGAACTTCAGAAGATCCAGGGCCCAAATTGCCGAGACTTGGAGACTCTATTGGATGAAGCATGGAGAGTCTTTAGTAACCGGGAGTTAGGATATAAACAAGGGATGAAGAAATTAGTGGCAGGAAGAAGGAAAGGAGAAACGTGAGCAAGATCCACCAAGACAAGGACCACCCCGACTGGGAAAAGATCAGTGTGCATTTTGCAGGAAATTTGGACACTGGAAGAACCAGTGCCCAGAATGAAGAAGGGGTGATGAAC